GATTTTGCCAATCTCCTAGTCCAGCAGCATAATAACACAAATTCCCTGCCCTTCCTTGCAAACTTGTGTAGTTTTCTCTTTGTGATTCTCTAATTTGATCCTGCACACTGATTGTGATCTTGGCTGTTCTTTTAAAGCCTGCCCTGTGCATATTTTCCTCCAAATGGATCGATCCCAAGCGGTTCTTAAGTTCAGTGATTCACAGAAGGTCCACGTGGCTCAGCTGTCATTTTGCTGTTAAGCTTCCAGAGATTGCCAAAATGATCCCGACTTACTCAACTTGTTCACTAAAACATTAAAGGGGAAAATGTTTTCAAAGCTTTAGGTTTCCTGTCCCAGTGTCTCTCTCTTTACATCTCATGTAAAGAGACCCACCACATTGCTGAAGTAGGAATTAGGACTGCCTTACAATGATTTTCCTCTTTTCTCCATAGTCAAGGACAGAGGGTAGCACTCCTTTCTCCATGGTCAAGGACAGAGGGTAGCGCTTGGTGAGAAGGTATCCCTGCAATACCTACCAGAATGTGGAGTGTCACAGAAAGTGATCCTATCGCCAATGTTGTTCAACATCTACATACACCCCCTCGCCCAGTTGGCTCGGAGGTTTGGGCTGGGTTGTCACCAATACACTGATGACACCCAGCTCTATCTGCTGATGGACAGCCCTGGATAATTTGGACAGGGAACTGGAGGTCATGGATGGGTGGTTACAGCAGAGCCAGCTGAAACTTAATCCAATGAAGATGGAGGTCCTGTACCTGAGTCGGGGGGGAGGTAGGTTTGGGAATCAGGCTTCCAGCCTTGGATGGGGTACTGTTAGTGCCAGTGCCGAGGGTAAGTAGTCTAGGGCCCTGTTCATACAAGGGTCTTTCTATGGAGGCTCAGGTCACCATTTTTGCTAGGTCTGCCTTTTACCATCTTCAGCAGATCAGGCAACTGGTACCTTATCTCTCCTTCTGGGACTTGGCTACATTGACCCATGCAATGGTCACTTCCAGGTTAGATTACTGGAATGCTCTATGCAGACTTATAGTTGAATCTGATCTGGAAACTCCAGGAAGTGCAAAAATGTGGTGGCATGCCTGCTGACTGCAACACCTGTGAGGATGTGCATTCAGCTGGTGCTACGCCAATTGCACTGGCTACCAATGCAGTACCAGATCTATTTCAAGGTGTTGATACTAAACTTTAAAGCCCAGTGCAGCCTGGGATCGACATCTCCCCATCAATGTTCCCTCTAAGCTGTGGGGTCTTGTGAGCAAAAATTCTACTTTGCGAGCTACTGGCATTAAAGTTGTGAGCGAGCGATTTGGCTACTGCATAAATTAGCTTGCTCTGGAGCCATCCTTCCTGAGCGAAGACAAAAATGTGTGATCTGGAGGCTAAAAGCACAGGGGGAAATTGGCACAAAAACACTCTCAGAAAACCTGGGGAAACAGCGACCAGAAAGTGAACTGAGCTCTGAAGGAAGAAAATCAATGCAGAATGACAAAGAAAACCTGACAGACATGCACAGTGGAAGTGAGGGAAAACACCCATGCATAATACACCAAAGTCTCAGGTTGCAACCAGCATTTGCAATCAGGAATGTCCCAGTTTGAGTCCCTGATTTCACCACCACACCTTATGAAATGAATACTTGTTTTACTGTGTGAGCATTTGATTGTTAGGTTTGTATGTACAAGAAGGGGAGTGCTGACTTCCTCCTTCATAGATTTAGATATTTATACCCTACTTTCTGCCCCCACATCAGTTTTTAGTGATCAAGTCTGCCCCCTCCCCCGGTATACATTTTTCTGTCTTTTTCCAAACAAGGACTAGGATGGCCAGGTCTCCCACCATAGCAGGGGACCTCCCACCATGGACCCCCTCTTCCCTGCTGCCACTTAACAGTGTAGTGGTGGTGGTGGGGGGGAAATAGATGGCAGGGTGTCATTTGGCATCATGCCAATTCCATGGCATCACTTCTGGCCCAAACCAGAAGTGAAGCCATTGCACTGGCACTGGACTTCGGTTTTTGAGATTCACCCAAAACTCTGTGGTTAAACTATGACATTTTTTTAATTAATCGTAGAGTGTTGCACCAATGTATTGACACCCTTTCAAGTTTGTACCAGAACTGATGTTGTAGCATCAGCATGATGCTGATCAGATAGGTCCCAATTTCCCACAGCCTCCAACTGGATGCCTATGCTGTGCTGGCAACCTTAAGCCAGAAGGATCGATTTCAATTATGAAAACGGCACACTTTCACTCACATAATTTCCCCAGTTCCACTGTACTCCCACTGTTCTGAAGGCAAAAGAATCATATCTGCACGTCTAATGACACCTGTCCAGTGTAACATGCCATTGGATCCAGACCATCACATTTCATGTAAGGCGATATGAGTTCAAATGACTGGTCAACCATGAAGTTCACTGGGCAAGTTACTCTTTCCTAATGGAACCTACGTCAAAGGATTTTTTGTGAATATCCAAAATGGGATAATGCTCATGCATAGTACTCTGGGCTGCTACTATTACAGCAAATGACTTCACTCCCCCATCAGAGTACACTGGCTTGTATCCAAACATGTCATTCCAAAAGGTCATTAAGGTTGTTGTTGTTGTGTTTTGTTTTGTTTTTATAAAAAGACAGGGTGGTGATTTCCAAAGTCCCTCCCTTCCATTGATATCCTGCTCCTGAGGCTCTGCCAGCCCCTTGGATCAAAATTGGGGTCATATCTGCATTTGTCTTTCCCACCGGTGTCCCAGCCTTCTGACTCCATCTTCAAAAAAGCTGTCTACATTTGGTTTCGTTTTCACACCTCAACAGTGCCAGCATACCTTTGCACGTCTGCATATGTTTATTGCCCTTTCGTGGCGTCTCCACTGTCATTGCACCTTTGCATTCCTTTAACCTTTGCATTCCTTTAGACAGGGTGGTGATTTCCAAAGTCCCTCCCTTCCATTGATATCCTGCTCCTGAGGCTCTGCCAGCCCCTTGGATCAAAATTGGGGTCATATCTGCATTTGTCTTTCCCACCGGTGTCCCAGCCTTCTGACTCCATCTTCAAAAAAGCTGTCTACATTTGGTTTCGTTTTCACACCTCAACAGTGCCCGCATACTTTTGCATGTCTGCATATGTTTATTGCCCTTTTGTGGCGGTTCCACTGTCATTGCACCTTTGCATTGCTTTGAAAGAATCTTCTCCAAACAACATTCAAACAAGCATAGAGAAAGACGGCGTCACAGCAGCACGAAACTGATTTAAAAATGCAAATACAGATTCAATCCTAATGCCTCAGTGGGCTGTAGTGGGAAGGGATAATCAGCAGAAATCAGTACCCTGTCTAAAAAAAACCCTCAAGGGCGCTTGAGTCTTTGGAACTGTGTGATTGGAAACAGGCCATTTATTTGTTTGACACCTTACATGCAGTCAAGGCAGAGTTCAACGGTTCACAAGAACATTGATAAGATGGCTGTTCCTTCAAACACTATTTTTTCCCCCAGACAGCTTTCTTTCTCATGCAAATTGTCTTTGCAGCTCACATCAAGGCACACAGCAAAAGTCGTACCTTCTGAGGAAACAGTCAAACGGCAAGCTATTCATTGGCCAGCGTCCCTCTTTTTCTCTCCTGTTGCGATTTCGAAGGTTGAAAGTGCCAATGAGTTACTCCAATAATGGTCATTCATTAAACAATCATTTGGCACCAAGGGAGGGGAGAAAAAAGAAATGACGTTCTCATTAGCACAGCAAGAAGAACATGGCAGTGAAAACTCTTGGACCTTGGCCAGTGCTGACAAAAAAGAAACATTTGCATGACTTCATACATATGATAAAATCCCTCATTGCCTTGAATATAGGCCTGGGTGAGGCGAAGGTTGCTATGGTAACCTGAACTCTTAATTTCTTGACTTGAGTACCTGAAACAACAAAAGTGACATTTTCAAAACTTATTTCATGTGGCATCCCATATTTTTTTTTTAAGGGGAGGGGAGTGAGTTAATAAAAGGGAAAACTGGATAGTGCAATGAGTAAGGATTTTATCTTCTGACATAAATTCAGCAGAAGATTATTACATACCAGCTTTAAGCCAAGTAGCAAAGAGATTGAAGCACTCCACTTAATAGCGCTCCATCTACACCGCAACTTGGTCTCATCTTGCTTCATTCTGAGAGAGCAGGCTCTTTAAGACAGCTGGCTAACGGCTTACGTGTGATTTGATGGGACAGTCTGTGACTGGCAGCCTACCGGAGTTCACTTTAAGATGTTTAAATTAGTGTTTTCCCCCCTCCCTCTCCAGTAATAATACAGCTCAGGGGCACCCAGTGAAGCTCATGGGCAATGCTCCCTCTAAACTGAGCAAAAATTCTACTTTGTGAGCTGCTGGCATTAAAGCTGTGAGCGAGCGATTTGGCTGCTGTATAAATTAGTTTGCTCTGGAGCCATCCTTCCTGAGTTAAGACAAAAATGTGTGAGCCAGAGGCTAAGAAAACTGTGAGCTAGCTCACTCTAACTCAGTTTAGAGGGAACACTGCTCATGGGCAATAAATCCAGAACTGCTGTACCTGGGGGATGGAAGACCACCAGGAGCAACACGAGGGGTAGTTGGAGGCCCTCTGTAGACTAATTGCCCCCCCCTCCAATGCCTGCGGGTCTTTTTTTGACATTATCCAACCTTGTATGTCTAGAGTCGTGTGAACAGAGCCCATCCCTCGCCAAAAAGAACCAAAAGCACAGGCTGGATCCACACACTGTGCAGACAAGAAAATCCATGAGGCAAATGATTATGATAATGCCATATGCAATATCTCCTTGACCACCTAAAAGCCAAATTGGATGGGAGCTGTAGTAAAGAAGGAAATTGGATGAGATCAAGTGAAAAAGCTGGCAGGATTCATCCCAGTGAGATTACATTTGTTAAATATTTGGCCATAATCTCCTCTCCTTCACTCACATAACCTGCAGTTATCTTTGTTTTAGGTAAACCCTTTTCCCCCCTTTTCTCTTTTAGGTCATTCACACCATGAGGGCCATTGACAAAGATGATCCCAAGAATGGACACCACTTTGTTTATAACCTCCCACCTGAACTGTCAGACAACTCAAATTTCACAATCCAGAAAAAAAGAGGTAAGCATGCTATGATGAAATGTTGTATAGCATACTTTATGCCTGTTTATCATTGTTGCCTTCTGTTTGCTGGTAATGTTCATTTTCTCTTCACACATGAGAAAGTACACCTTTGTTTTTAGTTCTGTGCTGTATCTCTTTGAAATATCTGGAATTGTCATTCGGGTTAGGGTTATAGAATAAACAATTTACCAAATCATGGCAGGGCTCGAGTGCAGGGAGGAAAGGAGAGAAACAGGGACGTCATACTGGGATCTGTGGCTGGACCTATAGTCAGGTTGGGATGAGTGGGTTCCTCTTCCCACCTGAAGCACAGTTTCCGCACACCTAACTCTTGTTCCAGAAAATAGGTTCCTAAATTTGTGCCATGTTAATCCTTTTTTCAGGTAAATCACTAGTTTTTAAAAAACTGCCGTTTAGTTAATATTTCTTTCTTTAATTTCTCTCTTCACACATGAGAAAGTACACCTTTGTTTTTAGTTCTGTGCTGTATCTCTTTGAAATATCTGGAATTGTCATTCGGGTTAGGGTTATAGAATAAACAATTTACCAAATCATGGCAGGGCTCGAGTGCAGGGAGGAAAGGAGAGAAACAGGGACGTCGTACTGGGGTCTGTGGCTGGACCTATAGTCAGGTTGGGATGAGTGGGTTCCTCTTCCCACCTGAAGCACAGTTTCAGCACACCTAACTCCTGTTCCAGAAAATAGGTTCCTAATTTGTGCCATGTTAATCCTTTTTTTCAGGTAAATTACTAGTTTTTAAAAACTGCCATTTAGTTAATATTTCTTTCTTTAATTTCTTCATTTACAGCCCACATTTCTCCCAGAGATTCAAGGCAGATGACTGTAAACTTTGCAAGGTTCTTGAAGGAATAAGGAATGGGGGGAAAAAAACAGTGGTGCCATGGGAATAAATTTCATTCACTCTACGTGCCCCCAACGTGTTTTGCTCAGCACTTCTTCAGGGAGGTCTGCACCATTTTAAAGTGTCAGTGTTCTTCCCACTAAAATGGTGCAACCCACCACTGTGGAAGCACTGAGCAAAACATGTTGGGGCACACAGAGTGAATAAAATTGATTCCCATGGCACCACTGTTTTGTTTCTTGATTCCTTAGCTTCACTGGTGCAGTTCTTCTTCTTCTGGGGGGAAAAAAACAGTGGTGCCATGGGAATAAATTTCATTCACTCTACGTGCCCCCAACGTGTTTTGCTCAGCACTTCTTCAGGGAGGTCTGCACCATTTTAAAGTGTCAGTGTTCTTCCCACTAAAATGGTGCCACCCACCCCTCTGGAAGCACTGAGCGAAACATGTTGGGGCACAAAGAGTGAATAAAATTGATTCCCATGGCACCACTGTTTTGTTTCTTGATTCCTTAGCTTCACTGGTGCAGTTCCTCCTCCTCCTCCTCCTCCTCCTTCTACTTCTTCTTCTTTAATTTAAAGAAACAATTGCCAATTCCTTTAGCCTGAAGGCTGAAACCTCCCCACCTAAAGTGTTCATGGTCTGGAATTCCCCCGGATGTGATATCACCATCAGCCCTCTCTGGAAAAGTTGAACCCCCACCTAGTGAGAAGGGCTGGCTACAGCCTTGCTTGGGGGTAGGGTTGCCAGCCTCCAGCGGGCACCTCAGGATCCCCCAGTATTACAGTTCATCTTTAGACTACAGAGATTAGTTACTCTGGAGAACATGGATGCCTTGGAGGGTGTGCTCTATGGCACTGCCCTGCCCTACCTTCAGCAGTGATGGTAGGAAGATTCAATGGGATGCCATATTCAGATAGATTCTGTAATTGTGGCAACAACAACAAAACATTGATTCTGTGGATCATATTTTCTGACTGCCCCAGTTTTTCAGATCGAAGAGCTGAACTGATCTCCCCATTATTTAATCAGGACTTTCTCTCTTCAGAAGCAAAATCATCCTGGTTACTCAGAGATAAACAAACTACTCTCTGTGTGGTGAAATTTCTGGCAGCTTTTGCTATCTTTTCTAGTAGTAACTTTTAGGCTCTCTTTTTGTGGGATGAGGGTTTGCTCTTTATGACTCTGCTTGTGAAAGCAGTAAGAAGTAAGTAAGTAAGTAAGTGTGGCCCTGTGCCCCACTGAGGTCCCTGTCCTCCCCAGGCTACACCCCCAAATCTTGAGGAGTTCCCCAACCTGGATGCCCCAACAGTGGCTGGGGGTGGGGGCAGTGGCAGCCCTATTTTGGAGGGTCAGTAGGGCCTAGCCTAAGCTGCATACCAATAACCATATCACTTATGGATAGAAATAGGGGGGGAAAATTATTTCATGATTCATGAAATTCTCTGTGTAGGATGTGATTGGGGACTCTGTGCCACAGTTCTGAACCATTCTGGAGAAATTATGCTCGAGCCCTGAGCCCTGAGCTATAGTACCATTGATAAGTGGCCTGTCTAACTTTCCAGGAGAGAGATAATTTTACACTAGTCATTTTGAGGTATCATGATCTCCATTTTAAAATATTAATTTCTTGTAAATATAGGGATGTTGACTTCATGTTTTAGCAACTTGGAACTTCCAACCAAAGGATCCAGGAATGTCCAGCTAGAAGAATTGTGTCAGAAGCTAGCTTGGGGGGGGGGGATCCTTTGCCAGAAAATTACCATCGAGCATACAATAAAAAGGATAAGGATCAGCAAAGTCTGAAGGAGAACTAAGTTTAGCATTGCTGTCGAGAAGGGAGAGAGCATACCATCATCAGAATTATCATTTCGTTCACACTGCTGGGGGGGAAAGGAAGGCGACAAATCTGGATTTCTTTTACTGTCACTGAGCAATGACTTTTACTCCTACTCTCATTTCCTGGCATATAAATATACTTGAAGGTCAGGTGGTAAATGAACAGGAACAGTAAACATATGCAATGACTTTAAAGAATAATTTTTCCCGGATGCGTGTATTGTCACATGAAGGACTGCTCTCTACTGGGTTGATAACCATAGATTGTGGTATTTAAATCTCTGAAACTGTGCCTTTCCATGGATTTTTTTTTTACTTTGTATCTTTTTTTAAAAAAAGTTTATTTGTATTGATCTCTTACATTTCATATTCATTCATAATCCTTTTCATCAAGTTTACATAACCAAACATCAAATACATCAATTTCTCCCTCTATTATTCCCTTCCCTCCTTTGTATCTATGCAGATCTTCAGCAGGCCTACCTCAGAATTGTCATTTCAGATTTTGATAAGGGATTAAAGAGATGGGGGGGGGCTACTTAAACAGGTTTGACCATTTCTGTTGCTGGTATTTGTGGTTCATTTGTTTCTTTTTTTATCATTGTTTCACCATTGACACATTGTTTTATACCATTGATACATAACTGACTCCAATTCTGGCTTGGGATCTTCATGGAGAATGGGGGGGGAGTTGTGCCTGGAAAGGGTGGGGTTAGGAAGATGGCTCAGCAGGCATGTGATGCCATAGTATCCACCCCCTGAAGCAGTGATTTCCTCCAGGGGAACATTTCCTCTGTAATCTGGTGATCAGTTAGGGTTGCCGAAATATCTCCTTACCGGGGGACTCCCGCACTGCAGCTGGAGCATGCGCACACGAAGCTCGCGCACGCCGCACGAACGTCACCTGGAAGTGACATGATGACGCCGGGCACGCTGGGGGCAGGGCCACAACCATCTGAGGGAAAACCGTAGAGTTTTCCCTCGGATGACCGTGGGCCCCGCCCCCAGCGTGCCCGGAGTAGTTGCGTCACTTCCGGGTGACGCACACGTCAGGGTGGGGTTCCCCCCGGGGCCCGATCCGCCACCAGCGGGGAATGGGCCTCTGGGGCGGGGGTTTCCATGCCCCCTGGGGGGACTTGGGAAGCCTCTGATCACTTCAGGAAGAACACCAGGCTCTACTTGGAGGTTAGTAAACTTAAACTGGTAAAAAGACTGGTGTGCACTTTAAAGATAGAATTCTATCACATTTCATTAGTACGACCAGAAGGGAAATAAAGATGACTAGAGTTTCATTCTGAGCAAGGAGAGTCCGTGTAAAAAACAGTGTGTTCAAAAATCTGGATGTTATCACTAAATGCATTCTATTTACTCATCCACCACCTGCATTTATTTGGCGGTCAGTTCCAGTTAGGTTTGCCAGCCAAAAGTGGCAACTGGCAGGACAGACTTTACTAGTGGGAGGCTCTCTGGCAAATGTCATGATTTGTGTGACCCAAAAGTGATGATACTGAGAAGGGTGATGATCTAACATTTGCCCAGAATTCGAGGGTTAAATCATTAGAGTTTGAGGGACATGCTAGAGCACTGCTCCTCCATGCACATCACCTAGCGATTTCCCCCCTGCTGTTTTCTGAGAGCCAGCTTGGTGTAGTGGTTAAGAGCATGGATTCTAATCTGGGAGAGCCGGGTTTGAGTCCCCACCAGTGTTCCCTCTAAGCTGAGTTAGTGTGAGCTAGCTCACAGTTTTTTAGCCTCCGGCTCACACATTTTTGCCTTAGCTCAGGAAGGAGGGCTCCAGAGCAAACTAATTTATGCAGCAACCAAATGGCTCGCTCACAACTTTGATGTCAGTAGCTCACAAAGGAGAATTTTTGCTCACAAGACTCCACGGCTTAGAGAGAACATTGGTCCCCACTCCTCCACATGTGGCTGCTGGTGTGATCTTGGGTCAGTCACAAGTTCTTTCAGAGCTGTTCTCTCAAGGGCAGTCCTCGAAAGAGCTCTCTCAGCCTCACTTACCTCACAGGGTGTCTGTTGTGGCGAGGGGAAGGGAAAGCAGATTGTAAGTCACTTTAAGACTCCTTTGGGTAGTGAAGGGCAGGGTATAAATCCAACCTCCTCCTCCTCTTCTTCTTATTCTTCTTCTGCCACTAATCTGGGAGTCCTGGCAACCCTAATTCCGATCCTTGGAAGTCAGCTCCAATCAATGAATATTCACACTGCTTACATCCAAGTAAATGCATCTAGAAACAACATCACAGCATTACCAAGTTCCTAAGCATGTTTACATTTCATCAA